ATCTGGACAGGGTAGGGTGTGCTTTATATATTGTTTTCACCATTCTATTATTTCATCCCCCCTTGCTCTTCTTTTATGATATGTTTTATTTGATTTTTATTTATAATATTACATATTGTTTTATATATTTATATATATATATATATACACACACGTATATGCATTCGTGTGGGTATTGCTAGCTTTCTTCGTTTGCTGTGGCATAACACCACTTGTTGTTTTTGCTAATAAGTTGTTTGCTTATACTTATATATTTATATTTAATTATTTTTTTTGGTAGTGGTATCTGCTGTTGACTTTGTGGATGATGAAGATTTAGACCCTTCTGGCGCCCAGGTAATTGCTCCTTGGAAAGAAAAGGTTCTTCCAAATGCTCTTTCCCCGTTGCGTCCGAAATGCAAGAATAGCTCTTCCGCAGGCAGCACTGCGGAATCAAATTCATCTAGTGAAAAGACGGAGGAGCTTGCTACCAGAGGAAGTTCTAGCAATCTCGTAGATGAAGCAAATTCCGTTAATGCAACCATCAAACAAGAAAGTACGAAGATAATTTGTCTATCTCGTGAAACTCAAAAGAGTGCGGAAAATTCACAGTAAGACGATCGTTTATCTAAGTGATTCTATCTCTTAACTCAAACCAAGCAAAGAACACATTATCCATGAAATATTAGAATTAAATAACAACCCACACTAAGAATAGCAAGGACACCATTCAATATACTCGATCAGTCATCATTCAAGAGACTCAAGAAAGGTAGGAGCAAACAATGCTCAACTATGAAGGAATACTATTGATTAGTAATCTCCATAACCAACAAAGATATGCAACACATACACTATCTCAAAATGCTTATGCCAAAGAACAACTCATCCAACAAAAAGTAGGACAAACCCCACAATGGAACTCATGAACACACCCATCATGAATTCGAACACTAAGCCAAAAGAAAGGCTCATCAATCGAACTACTAGAAGTAGTATGAAAATAAGAAGTTTTGTTTTAAAATTATTCTATCAAGAAGCATACTTGAAAAAGAACGGTTTCTGCAAGATCAAAAAATCCAAGACAAGATGAAAACCCTTTGGTTAAATCATACTTGACACGAAAAATGGACACTCCATTTAACAAAAATTCCTCACAGGAAAAACTCTCAAAAGAGACAACAAAAATGACCACTCAAGGGTGCTTTTGATTTTCGACCAAGCCCCCCTATTTATAGGCTTAGATTTTCGGCCAGCACCAAGAAAAGATCATCAATTAGGACTCTCTAATCTTATCTCAGAAGGAGTAGAAGTAGAAGAGTATTTGATCTCTTTGACTCTATCTAAAATCTAGGAAACCTTATCTAAATGTCTTATCCTCAATCAGGATAGTATCTAGAAGGAATCTAAGACTCCTAATCAAAACACTCTAGCTTTATTCAGCCCACATGGCTTATCTAACTAGATAAAACTCGAAAATTGACTCCTAGACTTAGACTAACTCTAATCTCGAAATTCAGCTCCCAAATTGTTGAAGTAAAATGTCTTGAACGCCCTTCCAAAAGTGGAATATTAGTCTTGCGCCCCTCACATTGTAGAAAACTCCAATTTACTCCAAAACTTGTAGAATTCTCTTTATTGACTTCAAAAGATTGGAAAAACACTTGAAACAATTAAGATAGTTTGCAACCTATCTAATTATGTAGCAATGGACTCAATCTTGAACACTTTGATCAAATAGGCTGTCCATTCAAGAACCTAAATGACTCTTCTCACTAGCTTGATCAATGATCTTCATGGAGCACCTAGAGTCAAACTCCCTTGACACTCTTGAGCACTTATTTCCATGAGGTCATCATCTCCTTTGGTTTGAACCCCAAAGTTAATGACATTCTCATCATCTTGATCATAGCTCTCTTGAACCAACTCCCTATCACATAGGTAGTTAAGATCTATCCTTTCTTCCTTGATTGGCTTGCAAAGTAAACTTGGCATTCCAAAACTAGAATAAAGGATTAGCTCATTCCCCTCTCTAGGAGAACCTCCATGGAAGGCTACATGATTCTCATCATCCCCTCCTTCTTTAAGAGGATTCGTCCTCAAATCATCAACCTCTATACCTGCACAAGGAACAAACGTGATATAAGGGTTAGTAAAATCCTCACCCTCACCACACTCTAATTTTCTCACACTGCGTGCATTTTTTTCTGTTTCCATGCTATTTTCATGGTTTTCTCTCGCCTCAAGTCTTACCTCAGCGTGACCTTTTTTACTTTCTTGCGTCACTCTCTCGACTTTTTCTCTCCCTTGTGTATAGGTTATCTTACCACACAAATTAGGAAAATTCATCCCTACTTATTAGAGATAAAATTTTTGACCCCCCTACTACTAATAGGACTCAAATACACGGCCACACATATGCACAATTGTATTAGAAGACTCAAAAATTTTCAGATTATGATAAGACTTCCTTATCTCAATAGTTTTCGAAAATAGACTTACTTTAAAACTCTAATTATAATCTCACTGAAATTATAATTTAACACATGCAAAAATTAGTATTTAAATCCAAGTAGGACTCAAATAAAACACACAATAAAATTGTATTACAATTAGGAAACAAAGGCTACAAATTTTCGGCCAATGTGAACACAAAAATCCAAAACCAAATAGGACTCAAATCATAACACAATTTGGACTCAATGACCTTAATTTTAGGGCTAAAATTTTCGGCCATGTGAACACACAAATACAAGACCAAATAGGTCTCCAAGTGTAACACAAATAGACAACTAAAATTCAAGTTCAACTAGGACTAGGAAACCCTAATTTTTAGCTTCACAATTTCGGCTATACTATGACTCTAAAATTCAAAACAAACTAGGCTTAGAATTCCGCATAAATCACACACACACACATGCAATAAGTTAGTAAAAATTCGGCTATTAACCTTTTACCTAATAGTTAAAATTTGAAAAATTACTTTTGACTCACTTTAAAAAAGAAACTTGAAAATTACCACTTTCCAAAAATGGACAACAACTTTTAGAATCTTTCTAAAAACCCTTTTCCAAATCGTATATGGAATTAACAAAAATCACTTTTTACCAAAACAATCTATGGCAAATAAAGTAACAAGAACACCATAAGTATAATGAAGTTGGAAATTAAAGTTCCTAATTCAACTATGACATTTGCTTCATAATACTCAATTTAACACAAACCATTCTTAAAACTCAATGACTCAACAATACCATCTTCATAAGTGACCATTTGAAAATCAAATTTTCCAAAGACCAAATATGTAAACTTCAAGAATATATCTCAAAGCCTATAAGATTTCTTGTCACATATAAGAAAATCTTTAGTAAAACTTCACTCAATTCTCGATTTAACTCTCAAAAATTAAGGTTTTAAACACAAGTCAAAGACTTCAACCCTTAAAGTTCGCACAATTCAACTTCAAAGACCTTTAAACACTTTGATACCAAAACTGATATCACTAAAATTCATTCCTCATCACATGATAAAGAAAGTTTTGAAACTCAAGTTAAGAATCATGGAAAGTCCAATGATAGGAAGATCCACTAATTCACTCATTCTCAAAGTATAAGACTCGAGAAAACAAAAACCCAAAATTGTTACTTTTGAAAAATCTTTTGACACTAAGATTTAAACAAAAATAGAATGACCAACAAGATCGGAACTCTATGAAATTCTCATTGATTGAAAATCCATAAATTCCATTTTACTCATTAGATTCAAATAAGAACCAACAAGAAGGAAGGCTTCTTCATTTATACTTTATGTAGAAAGTACAAAATCACTAAGCTTCACCTTTCAAAGAATAGATCCAAGATATTTACCACAAGATAAACTCTTAAACCCTCCTCATGTAAAGACATCTCTTTTAGAAAGAAATAGCTATCTCGAGCAAGTAGCTCTTCTTTGGCATCAATTCTCTCCTTAAAGATCCAACACATAAGATCCACTAACTTGCTCATAGGAGAAACAGTTCTCTACTTGCAAATCAAGGATAAATTTCAAAATGCAGCGCTCGCTTTGACTAGATACCAATGTACCATCATCAAGCTCTCGCACAGACCCCAAAATAACACCACAAGATCAAACAAATGTGTAAGATGTCTCGCAAAACCACACAAAAGACAAGATCAATTTTGAAAACGTAGTTTTCACAAGAATTTGATTTATTTTTTCAAAACCCATTCTGCAACAAGAAGGAACCTTGAAACAAATAAAGATAGTACTGCTCGTTAGTAGCACAAAGCTTGATTACCACACCAAGTAACGGATTCCGTGGTAACTCAAGATATTCTCAAAACCAAGAACTATGAAGTCCTCAATCAAGGAGAAATCTCTCGAAAATCAAACTGATAATAGAAACTGATATGATAATATCAAGTAATATCATCACTAAGATAGTCCAAGCTCTGATTCCAAGAAACTGATAGCAATCTCGCAGATGAAGCAAATTTCGTTAATGCAACCATCAAACAAGAAAGTACAAAGACAATTTGTCTATCCCGTGAAACTCAAAAGAGTGCGGAAAATTCACAGTAAGACGATCGTTTATCTAAGTGATTCTATCTCTTAACTCAAACCAAGCAAAGAACACATTATCCATGAAAGATTCGAATTAAACAACAACCCACACTAAGAATAGCAAGGACACCATTCAATATACTCGATCAGTCATCAATCAAGAGACTCAAGAAAGATAGGAGCAAACAATGTTCAACTATGAAGGAATACTATTGATTAGTAATCTCCATAACCAACAAAGATATGCAACACATACACTATCTCAAAATGCTTTTGCCAAAGCTCAACTCATCCAACAAAAAGTAGGACAAACCCCACAATGGAACTCATGAACACACCCATCATGAATTCGAACACCAAGCCAAAAGAAAGGCTCATCAATCGAACTACTAGAAGTAGTATGAAAATAAGAAGTTTTGTTTTAAAACAATTCTATCAAGAAGCATACTTGAAAAAGAATGGTTTCTGCAAGATCAAAAGATCCAAAACAAGGTGAAAACCCTCTTGGTTAAATCATACTTGACACGAAAAATGGACACTCCATTTAACAAAAATTCTCCACAAGAAAAACTCTCAAAAGAGACAACAAAAATGACCACTCAAGGGTGCTTTTGATTTTCGGCCAAGCCCCCTATTTATAGGCTTAGATTTTCGGCCAGCACGAAGAAAAGATGATCAATTAAGACTCTCTAATCTTATCTCAGAAGGAGTAGAAGTAGAAGAGTATTTGATCTCTTTGACTCTATCTAAAATCTAGGAAACCTTATCTAAATGACTTATCCTCAATTAGGATAGTATCTAGAAGGAATCTAAGACTCCTAATCAAAACACTCTAGCTTTATTCAGCCCACATGGCTTATCTAACTAGATAAAACTCGAAAATTGACTTCTAGACTTAGACTAACTCTAATCTCGAAATTCAGCTCCCAAATTATTGAAGTAAAATATCTTGAACGCCCTTCCAAAAGTGGAATATTGGTCTTGCGCCCCTCACGTTGTAGAAAACTCTAATTTACTCCAAAATTTGTAGAATTCTCTTTATTGACTCCAAAAGATTGAAAAAACACTTGAAACAATTAAGATAGTTTGCAACCTATCCAATTGTGTAGCAATGGACTCAATCTTGAACACTTTGATCAAATAGGCCGTCCATTCAAGAACCTAAATGACTCTTCTCACTAGTTTGATCAATGATCTTCATGGAGCACCTAGAGTCAAACTCCCTTGATACTCTTGAGCACTTATTCCACGAGGTCATCATCTCCTTTGGTTTGAACCCCAAAGTTAATGACATTCTCATCATCTTGATCATAGCTCTCTTGAGCCAACTCCCTATCACATAGGTAGTCAAGATCCATCCTTTCTTCCTTGATTGGCCTGCAAAGTAAACTTGGCATTCCAAAACTAGAATGAAGGACTAGCTCATTCCCCTCTCTAGGAGAACCTCCATGGAAGACTACATGGTTCTCATCACCTAAGAGGTTAAATGCAATTGACCCGTCACCAGACATTGGAATTCTAGCTTTTGATAAGGCTTTATCTCTGAAGAAGAAAGTTTCGGCTGTGGAAGATTCGTTGAATGAGAAAGAAGGGAGGAGACCGGCTGTTGCTGCTCTAATTAGAGAGGTTTTTGGAGGATTTTCAACTTTACAGTGTGGGCCCATTGGTCCCTCTGTATCTGCGCTGATGGGGTTTAAGCCGTCCCGTCCAGAATTTTAGATTATATATTCTGGATCTCTACTTAACAGGTCCCATCTTCGAAGAGATTGGTTTGCTAACCTTTTCCCCCCAGCCCACAGGGATTACCTCTGTACCATTCTTGATGAGGATGTGATTCAGAGAGCTACTTTCGCTTCTCTAGAGGTAGGGTGACTTGTTACTAATTTGTTATTTTTATTTAGGTAGTTTCGTTTTTAATGTATTGGCATGTATTATGTACTTCGATGACTTTACTTATTATATATTGATTGTACTTTAATTACCCCCTTTATAGACTATCAATCTGTTTGTCACTTTGATCTGCAAGCTTGGAGGAGCATCTCCAGATTGTTCTTCTCACTTGTGAAGAGAAAGTGAAGGCTTCGGAAGCAAGGTATGCGGGTTTGGAAGATTCCTCTGCTGCTCTTCGCCAAGAATTGGAGAGTTTAAAGGATGACTTGAGGGCTACCAAAGATGAACTCCACCTGACTCAGGTTGAGAAGGCCAGTCTAGAGAAGAGGGTGGAGGAATTAGGTGATGTTTCTGCTCAGACTCAGGAAGAGAACAAAAATTTGCTTAAAGAGATGGAAGTCTTGCAGAAGGATCGACACTTTTTAATTACTAAGGGTATTCCTTATTTCTTTAATGAGGGTGCATCCGATTCTGTTTTTCAAAGGCAACTTAAGAGGGTGTCGTACTACCAAAAGGCTGTCGGTGGGCATGGGATGGCGTTACACTACCATCCCTCTTTTGAAGGTGTGAACTTGGAAGACATGCTGGGTTATGATTCTGTCGCGGTTTCTAAGGCACAGGAAGCTAAGAAGGCTCTGCGCCACTTAAGCTTGGACTATCATAAGGTATTGCCTGACAATTCTCGGAATCATGCGTCTCTACTAATGGGTATTTGTGCGAAGCGGCTGTTACCTCATCCGGAAGCTAGTACTTCCCGCACTGTAGTTGCTCAAGGATCCTCTGGTACGGGAGATATAGAGGGAGAGGTTAACCAGGCATGAACGAAGAATTTGCAAGGCCTTATTTTCCTATCGTTTATCTTATTTACATGTAATGAATCTTAAAGATATTATTGCGTACTTTTTTTTTTTTGCATTGTGAGGCTTTAGCTTAGGTTTTTTCCTTGAATGGTTGCTGTAGCCTCCTTGATTTGTTGCTGGTTGTTTTGCCTGTTTGGCAGAAAGATATTTGCGCTTTGGCACTTTGGTTACTCCTTTCTTTTAATTCCGCAGATGAATTTCTTGTTTTTAGCTAGCTTTATCGGTGTGCCTTTCTAAGGCTTGCCCTATCAGTGTTAATACTCCATTAATGTCCGGAGGGTAATAACACATTAATTTTAAAGGCCTTTCAATAAGCTTAAAAGAAGATTACACAACAGCTGAAAGGGGTGAAGTATCACACTAGTCCCATTTTCCCTTTTTTTTTTTCAAAAAAAGGAAAGAGGAATTCAAGATAGGGAGCTGCTCCAAGTGATAAGCTTAAAGGCTTTGGAAGCACCAATCAGCGAGAGCTAGCAAGAAATTTATGTTTCAAAATTTATTTCATATTGGCATGCATTCGGAAGCATGATTAATACAAAGGCATTTTTCATTTAAAATGAGAAGTGATGCCTTATTCTCTTGACTTAATTAAAAGTAAGGATTGAAAACCACTTGCTATTTTGTCCGCTCATGTTGGACCAAAGATAAATTTTCATAAGAGATTTGTAGTCATTTAAAAGGCAAGGGTTTGGTTTTATTTGTAAATACCTATTTATTCCTACTATAGTGTTGTATTTAAGACATGACGAGTCCAAAGTAGTATGGCCCGCAACTAGGCCGGCTCAAGTTCGGTGAAAGGTCCAACCGGCCTCTGGAATCTTCTAGGTTGGTTCTTAATTACTTTCTTACCAAGAAAGAGTTCCACAACCAAGCTCTATAAATAGGGATGAACCCTTCAGGGTTAAAGGTACGCTTTATACACCCACTTTATACCCTTACTACGAATAACCTTACTGACTTAAGCATCAGAGTGTCTACCCTCGGGAGACCCCGAGGCCCTCTTTTGTAGGTTTTAGGGTTTTGATTCCGTCATGGCCGCCGTAGTAACCAACCGGAGACGTTGGTACAATTCCATCCTTCGTCAAGTGGCACGCCCAGTGGGACCCGATTAGGGTTCTTCACCCTTCAATAAATCTCTTGTGAAGAAGGTGGATGTTAGATCAAAAATCTCCATTCAAATCATGATGATGGAGGGCAGAGCATGATCGTCGTCTTAATATGGCATAAACTCAAGCCAAATCACAGCGTCCAGGTTTTAGTATTCTTAATTAATGTTTATTTGAGGTAAACTGTCGTGTAAAAACCTGCATGCACAAACCACTCCTTCTTGGATTGTCCAACATTAAAAAGTCGTAGGCATCCCCGTCTCAAAGCTTTGATGGCTTTTTTGGATATATTATATGCTATGATGCCACCCTAATTTTGTCTTACTAAGACGGCAGAGAAGATCCTTAATTAAATCTTCACTGAATGCATCCTAAGCCTGGTCAAACAACGGGGTAAGGTCCTATTTTCTACACCTTTAATTACTTTGGTCATTGTGCAAACGCATGGTGAGCCAACGGTTATGCACTATTACGTCAATCTGAGGCATGATAATACAATTGTAACATATCATAAATTAAGGAAAGATGGATTATTCAAGAAACCCTTATAGATATATAACATGCATATGAGGCCTTTTAGGTTTAAAGGTTGATTTTTGTTCATCTAATTTTGTGCTGAGATTGATGTTAAAAATTATACACACCATTTATGTGTTATGATGCATATGAATTAAGTCCCGATCTTCGGGGAAAAAGCTACAAACATGCTTTCATGCCCACACATATAACGCGATATTAATCCCAGTGATAAATAGTTTGGCGACCAAAATTCCATGAACTTCGTGATAAAAATTTGTTGAGGTCTAAATTATTTTTTATGTTGACCCGATGGCAATGTTGCACCTATTAACATAGGTTTCTTAATCCTATATGTGAACATAATTGTTTTGTTCTCATCAGCTATATTTTTTATTATAAATCTTTTGAGTTTCATGGTTGACTAAGGAAACTGTTGTCCATCAAGTTTGGTTGGAGAAACTTTACAATATCCTCGAACCAAACAAGATCGAAAAGCAAATTAGCCAGCGACGACTACGAAGCCTCCAGTTACACAGAAACCCAAGCAGCCGCAGCTGCTCAACAAGGATTCTAATTTTCGGGAAATTTTAATACGGTCCTTAGTAATTTTATTATTTACACTCTGACGCTATGTCTTCTGAATGCACAGAATAGCCCATGGACCGTCAAAGGACATACTTGGACAAAATTCTCTTTAACTAAGCGGAATTTATTCTTCAGTTCCTTTGGATATTAGTTATTATCCTTGCCTCTAATGGTTTTATTGTTTTTCATACAAGTCCTACAAGAACGGGCAACCTGATATCTCAAAAGTCACATCTCCTCGAAGAGACGCACAACTTCCTTGAGACTTGAGTACAAGGCTACTTGTTTGTTTCCGGCAGTACAAGCTGAAACATCCCTTTCTACATAATTGCACGCGGCAGAGGCTTTAATGACAGATAAGTTATCGTAGCCTTCTATTGCAAATAAGTTCATGTCGTATATCATTGTCTTCTGAACTTATTCATATGATATGATAAATTTAAATCTCCAGCATCATTATGCATAAATACACATACTATGCCTCTCTGAGCCTATTGTTGCTACATAATCCTGGTGGTAGCATGTCAATTGAATGTTACCTAATAAGATTTTCTCATATACTTGTATGCATCAATACCTCTTTACCATCATAGCAAACATGAGGGTTTTTTTGAAAAGTATTTCAATAACATTACAAATTAAATTGCATGCACAGCTCACCAATTTTGGGGTGTCAAAACGTAACATTCGCATGCTTACTTCATTTTAAGTCGTGCACAATTCTTGTATGCTCACCAAGGGTCCAACCACCTTGTTATTAGAGCAACTAACTTTTTGTCCAAAGTGAACAGCTATGCAAGTATAGCTCGATTTTTCGAGGGACCGAAGGAACATATAGTCGTGATTACACAGATTAGCCATATAACAAGGGTGGAGACAATCCCCTCGACTGAATTGAAAACAAGTAAGTAGTCCTAAACTTACTTGCGCCACGTTACCATTTTTCTAACTGGACTTCTATAACGAATCCAATCTTGGTTATGCTCCTTAAATAACACATTAAATGTGTATACCTCCCTTAAGGTGATCTAACGAAATGTGTACAGTTACAATAACCTGCCCGAGCGTGGCGCAGTTGTACTACTTGGTTTTGCAGGTCTTACAATAAGACAATTCGGGGAGTATCCTTCTTGAACCACGAAGCAACCTATTCCAAAGGGCAATGATCTGCTCGAAAAAGAAGATAAGTGTTAAGTTTGTTCCTCATCAGGAGACAACTTGTATGACATCATTATTTGATAAAGCATGTGACTCGTGCATGTAACACTACTTGGCATTTATATGTTCTCTTGATATTATTCTCCATACAATCAGGGAATTTGCTAGTCTTTATCATTACATGTATGATCAACCATTACCTAGCCCTCATACGCATCATTTCTTAAGGTAAAATTATAGTGTCGTGACATCTATACTTTCTCGAGTGGAGAATAATTGCTATTTGCGATCTAGATCTTGACCATAGCACATTATGTCAACTGTCTCCATATCTCTCGAAAAGTTGTAACTGTATGATCTTGAGAATAGTTATGCAAGGACTTCTATCGCAAAGGCATGCTCGAGTTTTGGGAGAACTTCTTCCTGTTTTTGCAGAACTTGCAGAAATATGAGAACGGAGATAGCCCCTCTATGATGCGAGATTGTAATCAGGCCGCAGTAGTCTTGAACAAATGAAGGACCAATACACGGTGAACGTCAAGAACGAGCTCCCTCAACAACAATGGGGAGTCTCTTGATAAATGGGTATTACTACTCTAACTTGTGGTTACCCTTGGAAGAGTACCAATAGATAAGTGATACGATCTCCTTATAATATTATTTCCTAAATATATGAACGTCTGCTTTACAATCTGAATTTTACGATAGTTCATTGAATAATTGTTCTTACATGACACATTAGGCATACGTGTCTCCTGGGCCTCTTTAGTGTCCTCGAACTTTCACATGCAAACTTCTGGCACGAAAAGTCTTTCTCAGATGCATGACTTATTTACCAATTATTTGCGTCATCGTATATTAGTCATGAAGCATAGTGCTACAGCTTCTACATATACATGGCTTTCTTTACTCTCCACGCATAAATTTTTTGACCTATCTTAAACACGATAGCTAAGTCATGTTTATTTCCTTTTCTTTTGAAAGGGGGTAGATACCCCTCTCATACTTACAATTGTCGGTGATATGCTATAAAAGTCATAGTGCAGGATGGTTCCTCTTTTCTTGAGTCCTGAGTCGCAATAGATCGTTGTGTTTACTCTACCGAACAACTAGATTGAACTTACTATCCCGAAGCCACAATGAATTTCACATCTGATGGTCCAGTTCCGTGACAAATCGCTATGATTCTTCAGGGGTCCATAGTAAGTACGAATCCGTGGAGAAGCATGTCATGATCTCTGCAGCATCCTTTCATAGCCGTTGTGAGCTAATCAAACCATGGCTTCGATAGTCTTGCTCGTATCGCGGTGAGATCTTTCCAGTTCTTACATTTCATGTCTTAAAATGGCTTCTTTTGAAGGGGGTTGAGGCCCCCAATAATATATTGTGTTGTATGTCACTTCTCGTGCTTCGATAATTTATTACTCACTAATAAATCTACAAGTGCATGAGTAGGTGTTTTGTCAGGACCAAAGAACCATCCTGGTTTATCATGATGCCTGCGCTCGAGTGGCATCACCATCCGAGTATTATGTCCTCGACAATTATCATGAAAGAATTCAGACGGATTCTCCCTCTAAACCAAGGTACGCT